TAATCTTTAGCTGCTGGTCACTGTAATGAGGCCTCATTACATGACATTACAGCAGGCAGGGGAGCGGGACAGGCCCTGGACAGTGACACGGTGACAGGGGCTCGGTGCAGCAGAGCCAGGCTGTGGGTGGGGGAGCGAGGTGGGGGGACACGGAGGACAGTGACCTTGACACCCAGCTGTGGGGCACGGGGGAGTCCCAACTGCATGTGTGGGGTGACCTGTTGTCAGCCCCAGCTCGGTGACAGCCCCCAGTGCAGTGCAGTGCTTGGGGTGGCAGCGTCCCCAGGAGACACCTCGTGGTCCCCAGCAGTGTGAGGGGATTCCTGGAGACATGGCAAGATCCTCAGGGGCGTAGCAGCGTCCCAGAGATGTGACAGTGTCCCTGAGAACTGTGCCAGGGTCCCCAAGGGAGGGCCCCAGGGGCTGTGCTATGGCCCCGGAGGGGTGTGTCACCATCCCCTGCAGTGTGCTTGTGTCCCCAGGGGCTGTGCCAGCATCTCCAGGGATTGTGCCAGTTTCCCAAGCACTGTGCCAGGCCCTGGGAGGGGGGAGGGTGTGTTGGTGTACCCGAGGGGGTGCCAATGTCCCCAGGGGCTCTGCCAGCGTTGCCAGGAAGAGTGCCAGTTTCCCAAGGGCTGTGCCAGGTCCCCAGCAGGGTGCTGATGTCCCTGGGGTGAGGTGTGTTGTTGTGGTGTCACCAGTGCTCACACCAGGGTGTGCAGCAGTGTGCCAGTGTCCCCACGGCTGCCCAGGTCCCCTGGGGATGCTGGCGTCCCTGGGATGATGTTGGTGTTCCCAGGGGTGTGTTGTCTGTGTTGTCACCAGAGCACACACCAGGACGCCCAGCAGTGTCCCCAGGATTGTGCCAGGTCCTGCCAGGCTGGCTCAGGGCAACAGGGACAGCACGGGGAGGGTCCTGGCACAGTGGGGGGACCGAGTCCCCCTCGGGGGCCAGAGGTGCTGTCAGGGGCCCGAGGCACTATCGGGGACCGGCAGCCTGGGGGACCCAAGTGTGCTCCTGGGAGATTAGGGGGGGAGTCCGTGGGGGTGTGGAGATGCATCCCAGCCACACTGCCAGGGTTCAAACTCCACGGCGGCGAAGGTGACGGTGACAGCAGGAGGGCCTGGCCTCGTGCAGGTGGGTGAGGGGTGCAGGATGGGAGTCAGCAGGCACGGTCGTGTGTGCAGGTGTGCACGCCTGTGTGTGCACCTGTAAATATGTGTGTGTGTGTGTCTGTAACCAGGTGTGTGTGCACCTGGAAATGTGTGTGCGCGTATAAATGTGTGTGTGTGCCCACAAAGGAGTGTGCACCTGTAAACAACAGTATGCACCTGTAAATCTGTGTGTGTCTGTAAAGAGCTGTGTGCCATATGTCAACAGCTGTCCCCTCCGTGTCTGAGCCCTGGCCCTGTCTCAGCTGCCGTGGCCAGGGACAAGGGGCAGGGCTGGGGCCACGGTGGCCTTTGCCCAGGTGGCCACATGCTGCCACGTGTCCCTGTGCACCCCAGGTGTCCCTGTGCCCCCGGTGGGTGCCAGCATGAGGACGCCCAGCCTTTGTCACCCACAGGCTCAGCGAAGACGCCCCAGGCTGGTGACAGCCCGGGCCAGTGGCCACCTGGGCAGGGGACATGGCGGGGGGCGCGGGGCTGGCCAAGCGCCTGGGGACCCTCCTGTCAGGGCTGCTGGAGTGCGGCGCCTTCTGCGGCATCATCTTCGGCTGGGCCTCCCTCGTCTTCGTCCTCAAGGACCTGGGCTACTTCGAGGGGCTGTGCCAGCCCTCTGCCACCCCCAGCCCCAACGTCACCCTGGGGTCTGGTATGGACCCCCACCTGTCCCCATGGTCCCCTGACTCGTGACCCCACCGTCCCGATGCCCCGTGCTGCCCCATGTCCCCCCTGTGCCTGTGCCTGTGTCTTTGCTGCCTGCGATGTCCTGACGCCCTGCAGTGTTCCGTGTCCCTGCCGTCTCCAAGCCCATGTGCCTACTGTCCCCCAGTCCATGTCTCCAGTATGGTCACGTCCGTGGTGTCCCCACATACCCAGTGTCCCCTGCATCTCCGCTGATCCGTGTCCCCGGGTGCCTGCGTCCCTGCATCCCTGGTATTCCTGGCGTCCCCGTGTCCGTGTCTGCGTGTCCCCATGCCCCACTTATGGCCATCCCCAGACTGCAGCGGGCAGGATGAGCAGTTCTCTCTGGTCTTCACCATCGGCTCCTTCATGAACAACTTCATGACCTTCCCCATGGGTGTCGTCTTTGACCGCTTCGGCACCACAGCTGCGCGCCTCATCGCCATGTGAGCCCCGCGCCGGGGGGGACACGGGGGACGGGGCTTGTGCTGGGGGGATACTGAGAATGGGGCATTATTGGGGTGGCCTGGCTCCCAAGGGGCTGGGGTAGGGGAATCACCTGTGATTCCCAGGATCCTGTCCCCACGTATCACCGCTGTCCCCTTTAGCTCCCTCTACACTGGCGGGACCCTGCTCGTCGCCTTCTCCACCCCAGGTGAGTCCCTGTGGCCGGGGGGTCCCCAGCCCTGGAGGGGGTCTCTTCGGTAACCCCTGTCCCCGCTGACCCCTGTGTCCCCAGAGATGGCGGTGCTGCTGTTCCCGGCCATGTCCATGCTGTCAGTGGGTGGCATCCTCCTCATCCTCACCAACATGCAGGTGGGTCCCCTGACACCCACGTGGCGGCAGGACAGCCAGCCTGGCACGGGAGGGCTCTGATGGCACACGGGGGGCTCTCGGTGCCAGGTGGGCAACCTGTTCGGGAACTACCGCTCCATCATCATCACCCTCTACAACGGGGCCTTCGACTCCTCCTCCGCCATCTTCCTCATCGTCAAGGTGGGTGCGAGGGATGCAGCAGTGGCGGCAGGGGAGGGCAGAGCTGGGAACAGTTGGGTGACATCTATGGACATATTGGGGACATAATCTGGGACAGAGCTGAGCCACTGCTGGGGCCACACATGGGGACAGACCTAGGGTCCGAGCAGGTGGCCGGTGGCAGCTTGTCTCTGTCCCTGACTCTGTCCTTGTCCCCAGCTGCTGTACGAGCGGGGGCTGTCCCTACGGGCCATGTTCCTTTTCCTGGCGGCCTGCAGCGCCTGGCACCTCCTGCGCACCCTCTTCCTGATGCCGCGCACCCGCATCCCCTACCCGCTGCCCCCCGACTATGACTACGGGTATGGGGGGCTGCCTGCGCCCTGCTGGGGCTCTGGGGAGAGGGGTGGCTGCGTCCCACCCTGTGGGCGGTGGGTCCCGTCCCCTGGGCAGGCCCAGCCCCTGCAGGTGGCCGCAGGGTGACACAGGCGCTGCCGCAGGCTGCAGTGCCGGGGGCGCTCCCGCTCCTACCGAGCGCACAAGGACAAGCGGCCTCCGGGAGAGGCCGGAGCGGAGGAGACACCCCTGGAACCCGCCACAGCTCGAGGTGCCGGGAGCGGGAATCTGCTCGCTGGGGGTGGGGCTTTGGCCAGATGGGCGTGGTCACCGCCGGGCGATGGGCGGCTCCATGTAAATGAGGGGCGTGGTCTGGCGCGGCTATGCATGATGTGATTGGAGGATATCATGCGTATGCAGATGAAGGGGCGTGACCTCCTGGTGGTGGGCGTGGTTTGTTAATGGGCGCGGCTGGAGGACCGGTGGATGCAAAGGAAGGGGTGCTGGGTGTGGCTGGGCGCGGTGACACATCGGAATGGGCATAGAGGTGGCTGTGAGGCCCCAGCGGGTGGCAGGGACAAGGTGTGGCCTGGGGTGTGTGTCTGTATGCGCCCCGCCCTGACACCTGCACAGGTGGGGACACCCCCGGGACGCCGTTCCGGGCCTGCGCCTGCTCGTGGCTCTTCGCCTGGCACGTGGCCTGGCTCTCGGTGATGCAGCTGCGGCACTACCTGTTCATCGGCACCCTCAACCCGCAGCTCGAGCACCTGGCGCGCGGGGACCACGCCCTGGGTAAGGCATCGAGGCGGGGGGACACGGCGGGGACCCCCAGGGCCCGCCTGACGCTGTCCCCCCACAGTGAGCACCTACACCAACGCCTTCGCCTTCACCCAGCTCTGCGGGGTGCTCTGTGCCCCCTGGAACGGCCTCATCCTCGACCGGCACAAGCGGGGAAAGGGCCCCCGCCCTGAGGGTAATTGTCCCTGCACCCCAAGGGCAACAGAGCCCCCAGCTTCATGCCCTGAGGATAACTGACCCCCAAGGCCTTTCACCCCAGGTGGAAGCGCACTCCTTGGCCCCACACTATGGGGGTAATCCCAGTCCTGTGGCCCTTGTCTCCTCATTGCTGCCGTCACC